GTGAAGGCCTTAACTCCGCCCTCCCAACACACACAACACCAACAAAAAAAAAAAAAAAGAAATCTAGCAGGTGCGCTTTATATAAAGAAAAAGCCCAATTTAATCTGTTGTGGTATGATTCAGCTGAATCTGGGAAGCTCCATGTCATCATAGATAGAAAAAGATAATGAATATGACAGATATTTTCAGAGATGTTAAGAATATTCCTCTAGGAACCACAACAATCTCCTTCAGGTTAGAGCAACTTATTCATTGAGAAAATGGGTGTTGGAAAAATTTGAATGGAGTCCGAGGACCAAGGAGCTTCTGGTTTCGTCATGAGCACATTTAGATTATTCATTTTTCAAAGCTGAACACCGAGTGCGTTTGAACTGCATGATTCAAGTGGCACTCGGTGCATGATCACCTGTCTGCTTTAAGTAGTCGCTATCAAGGGATATGTTTCACTTATCCAATTCGGAAGCTTAAATAAAAGGAAAACACAAGCATGGTGGTAAATTGCCCCCCACACTTGACTGTGAGAAATTGTTAGTTGCAAAAAACTTTGCATACTCACACAAATAGATCTTAATAGAAAATTTTGCATTTAGTATATAATTAACGAGTCTGACATGTTGAAATGAAAACGTTTGGTGGGAGAACTAGTTTGAATCCTATTTTCATTAGAATTTATTCTACAAGAATTCCTTCTCCAGGAAACCTTGCGTTTACATTTGGGAATTTTTTGCTGTATATCGATTTTCTTGTCTCCTATTTTTAGACAATGAAAAGATACATTAAGTTGTGTCATAGGAAAAGTTTTCTTTCGAACTCTGCGTTCAGTTTCATCAAAGATTTTAAAAGAAGGTTACTGTGAAAGTGCTACCTTTTGTCGAAATGCATTGTGCTTGCCTTTTGATTTAGTTTTAATTAAATCTTTTAATTTTAATTTTATGCAATGTAGTAGTTCTATTAGTTTAAAGTTTGCAAATCAAACTGCCAGTGGTTTCAGTAAAAACTTTAAATGTTCTTTTACGTGTATCTCTTCCAAACCAGCTACATGTGCTTTAGCTCTGCATGCTGAAAAATCAATTTGGAAATTAAATGCTTTTTTTTTATCCTACCTTTTACAATGTTACATTAGACAATTGCAAGACTTTGATTTAGAAGTATCAGACTGGTGATTCCCCTTGTAGACAATTAGTCGACATTTGTTGTTAAGGTGTTACCTGGCTTGCAGCATAAACATACTGGCATGATAATTTGTTAATAGTTGATTTCAGTTATAATTAAATACAATAGTTATACAAGAGACTTCAGTTACTTAATTCTGCTTCCTCAGTAGTAATGGTTATGACATGAGTGTGAATGACTGGAACTATTATTTGGAAATGAGGATTCTACAAGATGTGATTCTATTTTGTGATGGTTGTTAACCTAATGTAACCATTATGCTAAAATCAAATCATTACTAAATTTGTACTTAGTAAGGCTTTGTAGCAGGAATATCTCATGTTTCAATTGTTTACATGTAAATATGCTTCTTCCGTTTTCATGAGAATTGCAATGGATTCTTCAGATCCTTCAATTTTGTTTGGTAAAAGAAAATATTATGCTGAGGTACGTGATTTTTGAATTAATCCCCAAAATATCACTCTTTCTGTTGGTATAAGTAGATGACGTTTTTTTAGCTATAAGTATATGATTTGCACCTTTGAGTTGAGATTTTCTTTTTTCTGTTACAGATACTATTGCTTTCTGGTTCCTTTAACACTTCCCATCCTTGTTGTCAAAATATATTTCCATTGGCTCAGCATGAAGATCTTTAAGCATGCGTAGCTCAGACGAGGTATGAAAGCTAGTCATCTATGTAATTTCATGATGATTGTTATGAATTGGTTAGGCTTCAGACTTTGGTCCAAGTTCACTTGAAACCATTTGACATGAGTAGAGTGAAACAATGACAGTGTAATTTAGTATGAGAATTTTTCTGGTTGGCAATTACCCAATATAGTTAGTGATGGATGAGTACCTTCACTACTAAAGTGTAGTTATGTTGGGCCCTTTTGTGCTAGTGGCTTTCCCAGAAATTCAGAAGTTAAGAGGACAAAATGAGTATAATGACTTTCTTTCAAATAAATAACTTGCATGCATTTAACAATTGCGTCTGTCCAAGTTTTCTGATGAAGCAAGATTTCTAAAAAAAAGTTTTTTGAGGAAGACATTTGTGCTACTAAATCATCCAAGAAACCCATCCTTCTATTATTTTCCAGTTCCATGGGAGCTACTGATAATCTGGACGGCTGTTCAACTTGACTAAGTTGATTTTCCTTATTCAATAGTGTAGCTCAAGTCGAGATTTATTTCGTACTTGAATTTCACGTCAACTTTTTGAAATAAACAAAACTTAAGTATGAAAATTTTGAGTTTTTGGAAGAAAGTATAACTGAAACTATCTAATGAAATAGTGTGGGGTTCCATTAGAAATACATCTAAATGAAAAAGGCAAAAATAAGCTTTTTTGGGGGAAAAAATCTCTTTTGTTATTTTACTCTAGAATTAAGATCTCAACTAATCGAATATTTTTGTTCTTTTGAAATGTTCATGATGAAAGTCAAATAGTCGACGTATATTTATTTTCATTATTGATACTTTTGCCTTCTTACAGGAAAGAATGTACCGACTGTCACCATGAAAACCCTTCAAGAAAGCTCAGTAATATAACATGACAGAATCTCACTCTGTGAAAGAGGTTCATGAGATTTTACCCTTCTAACTGTATACATCATAGATTTTTGAAAACGCTGTAGCCTAGCATACTTTTGACCGCAATCTGCAAAACTCAAAGCAACTTAGGATCTTGCTTCTGTTCAATACCAGTTTGAATAGCTGGTAAGTCATGTAACTGAGAGAAACACGGAGTTACTGTAGTTTTTCTTCCTGAGTTACTGAGCTCAAAATTTTCATGCATCTCTTAATTTAGTTGACATTTACTACAAAATTGCTACATACCCCCTTTACTTGTATCTGCTATTGACCTCCATTCAGCTGCGTTTGTCTATTCACAACTCTCTGTGGATGTCAGTTTATTCTGGTTATTGTGTTGGAACTCAGAGTACATGTTGTGAAGCTGCTAATGTTAGATGATACTTTCGATAATGGTGGTGTTCATGTTAGTTTGTATTACTTTGACTAATTTACCGAGTACTTGCTATCTCTACGAGCATAGGTACGGGATAACTCTGTTTGTCAAAACTTACAATTTGATAATCAATCATATAATATTCAACTACGTTAGTTGACTCCTTTAATCCTTGGATTACGTACTATCCTGAAATTATTTTCTCTACACGTTCAGCCTCGGTTGCAATCAGAAAGGATTGACATTTCCATGCTGCAATAAAATCTACGTACAGTCAAAGGCGGACCCAGGATTTGAGGCTTATGGGTTCCTACCGTAATTTTAGATTAATATGCAATAATAATTGGGTTCACAGTTAGATATTTACAAATATTTAGTGAATTTCTTAATATAAATACAGGGTCTACGCAAAAGTTGCTGGGTTCCTCGAAACCCGTATTTTATGCTCTAGGTCCGCCCCTGCGTACAGTCAAACCTTTATATAATAACCTCTTTTGTTCCAGATTTTTTTGGTTGTTATAGACAATATATATATTATAACATAGCATGAAAATTGGTTTCATAAAAAGCTTGGCTTTATAGTGAATAGTTGTTATATAGCGATAAATGATGATCGTTATAGGAGAATCTGACTCTATAAAATTCCCAAATGATCAAGAGAGTCCGAAAATTTGTTTACTAGAATTCTGACACAGAAAACAAGAGTTTAATAACAGCATAAGAAATTTAACACTGGTGTATTAGGCGACGTGAATTTAACTCTCCGGTTCCAAATATTAGTCGGTTTAATAAAACTAAATTTGTTTATTCAATGTTAAAGAAAAACGAGAAGTAATTTGTTGTTGGAATACCTTTTTGACAAACCTACTATTATAATTAAGGCTATTAAATATTTTTCTTAAAGAGTGCAAATACATTAAAACACATAATATGTACAGGATGTGGTAGTTCCATATGTATTTCAAAAATAGCAGTCAAAAAAATCTCATCAGCATCTGAAGATTTTTAGGGAAACGGACAGCAGAAAACCAACGAGACATTTTATTACTTTAGTTAATGTAACAACATAACAATCAGAGACATCTGTAGAATACCCTTTGGATAAAAACAAAAGAATACAACAGAAGAATGCACCTCAATTTTCCTCTCTGTTCCCTTTATTACCAATATTTCCTCTGTCTATGGGCTGCAAAATTGCCAAAGAGAAATCTCTATTTCATCCTAACTCTATCCCACATCTAACCTTGAAGAAAAAGAAGCAATGGTACTTCATGAAACAAGAAAAAAAGGCCTGATATCAATCTCATTTGTGCCTTCTTTTGGATTCTCCATAAGCAACAACTCCCATCACTGTCATTGTATAGCCCGCGATTCCAATAAAAGTTACTGGATTTTGGAATATTAGTATGGAGATAACAACAGCCACTGCTCCTTTTGCATTGCCTAGGACCTATAGCAGGCCACAGATTATTAAAGATGTTAAACATCAGGTGAAAGCAATGTACATTGCAGATTAGCATGAAAATGACAGTACAATTTGAGAACCATTACTGATTAATATTGTAGGTGCTTGGACAATATTTGGTTGAAGTTTGAAGAAAATTTAAGTTTAAGTTGATCAAGGGTATTTACAAGTCTTGTGTTTAAACAACGAATTTAGAAAATTAACCTTCTTCGCCTGAGACTAGGCGTTATCTTTCGCGTTAAGTCTAAAGACATATGGTAAGTTAGAGAGCAAAGACATATGCTAATGACGAAATGGTCTATAGCGGCCAATGCTACAGGTTCTCTACTCCTGGGCTTGAATTCGAGACTTCTTATTAAGGGTGAAATTATGCTAATGACGAAATGGTCTAGTGGCAAATGCTATAGGTTCTCTATTCCGGGCTTGAACCCGAGACTTCTTATTAAGGATGAAAGGATTTCAACCATTCGACCATACCCCTTGGTTATCATTGTGCTTCTTTCTTTTGCCACATTAAACTATACCAATTAGAGGAGAAAAAAAGGTGGGGAGGGGGAGGAGGAAAAGAGAGGTATAGCGCGAACCTGGAGTGTCAAAGCACTGGTATGCTTAGTCACCAAAAAGTTCAACAAGTTGGCACCATATGCCATTGCAGAATTGACCAAAATAAGTAGGCCAAGGAACCTATGTTCAGTCGCGAGTGTCATAGTGACATCTATAACGTTGGGCTCCATAACGAGTGTAGCAGGCAATAAGACTAGAACAGCAATGGGTGACATGTAGAGCAGGAGATTCATTGAGTTCAGTTTTTCCCTGAAAAACAACAGCAGGTTATAGGAGAAACTACCACAATGTATCGATGGAACAACAGAATGAGATATAAATAGACAAAAGTAGTTACCCTTCAGAAGAAAGAAGGACCCCTTGAAGAACAGACTTAAAGGCTCTAGCAGCAGTTGCACCTATGCACATTAGAAATCCATAAAGGTGGAAGCTTGGCTCGCCCTGCCACGGATTAATTAAGATTCTTATTAGCCAGTAAAGAAAGAAAGCTCCTCAAATTCTCATGACAATAGGGATTCTGATGTTGCCAAGTTGTTCAATCATAGAAATCTGAAAACTTTTCAACTTGGTTACAAAACTGATTTCAACAACAATAGGCAAAGATCTGGTAGGCTTAATAAACTTCAAGCATAACACAATAGAAAGACCATGAAACTTCTATTTAGAGACAAAAATTGATCTTTATAACAATTGAACAGAATATGGAAGTAACACAATTTCTATTGAAAAGAAAAGCTTCTGCAAAATATAGAAATGATGAGAATTGTCCACTGGGGCAGATGGAGCCTTGTTCAATAGGTCCAACTATGACTCGGAGCATATACATGTGGAAGATTACTAATATTCCAACAAAGTTAAATTCTGGACCATAGTGCAACGAACTTAACGATTGAACTCATCAAATTTAAATTTTGATCCACCTCTAATTGTCGAGGTGGTATAATGTATCAAATGAGCATCATGAATTATCAAATCTGATCTCAACAATAATCTAGACAACAAAATTTCTGACTTTTGATATCTGTTTCTAATGTTTTTTTTTTTTTTTTTTGTAAAAAAAGAAGCAAAGATCAACTTTAATGTGGAAGGAATTTACCCAAATAGCCGTTCATATTCATTGTTTATTTTTCTAGCAATATACATAGTTTATACATTGATTATACATAATTATACACATATAATACATAAGGTATTCATATATTATACATCTACCGGCTATTTTTAGTTTAAGCAATTGGGTGTGCGGCTATTTGGGTTAATTCTACATTAAATAACCCAAAAAGTCAGAATATTAAGAAAAGTTTTTTTTTTTTTTTTTTTTTGTTTCATAGCACAAGCCATACTACAACCAGATCACTTGAAGATAATACAAACTAACAAGCAATCAACTACTTATTCAAGAAAATAAATAAGTTAGGAAATTGTAAACATACCCCACTTGCAATTATAACTCCAGTAACAACAGGAACAAGGCAACCATAAGTGATCCAAGCTTCTTGCTTTCGAGTCATCAAATAAGCAAACAATGCAGTGAAAAATGGTGTAGTGGCACCAACAGCCTGGTTAAAAGAAACAGGCAGATACCTTAAAGAAATATTGCCACCCACAACAGACCCACAAAAGACAATGCTGAGAGTAGCAATTCTGAAAAATTGGGATCTTGATTTAATCCTCTGAAAAGGTGCAATCTTGAGGAAAACAATGGATACATAGCTAAGAACAGCACAAGCTGTCATGTGACACATTGTTAGGAAAATTGGAAATTTAAATCCATAGTTTGATAACAATAATTTGTTAAGGAGAAGGACTCCTATGTTTGAGGAATACCAAAAGGTTATAAGTGTGGCAATGAAAAAAGCCTGCTTCTCTGATTGTGCTGATGACAACATGATTGGTTCTTGAATTTGAATGTACCCTCTTGTCGATACTACTAGTCTTCGTTTTTTTAACCCGACTAGAAAAATCTCATCAAGATAAATTGAATCGAAGACCCTATTCTCAACAAGTTTCAAGATTTATTTCTTGAAAATTTGGAGGGTGATTTTTTTATTTTGTTTTGATGAGTGTGTGTGTGTGTGTTTGGGAACTTTTCTGGGGAATGTATGAAAGTGGAAGAAAGAGAGCAATGTTAATTTGTGCCTCTTCTTCCTTTTCTTCCCCACACGTCCCAACCAACACTTAGGAGATTATTATGGCAGAACTAACTTCTTATGTAATGTATTGCGGTATATATAGAGAACTAAAAAGAAGCGTCTACCAACCAAATCCTTTTTTGAAGAAGCAGAGTTTTAGTTTTGTTAGGCATGCATTTATTATTTTGATATATTAGGATAAGACAAGTCTTAGCAAAATAAAAACTTTTTCTATTTTGACACTGATAAGTCGGACGATTCTTCAATAATTCAGGGTGATCCAATCTCTTCGACACTTTTTTAGCTGTATATTTTCTCCATTATTTGAAGGTGAAAGAAAAGATAGTCTAATTTTAAATTTTAATACATTTAGGTTTTGTATGAAGAAGGGAATTCACATATTTTGTGTGGTAAAACTTGATACTATTGAACAGAATATTCGCCACGTGTTCGTTGGATCATGCAAAAATAAAATAGGCAGAAACAATTTTAACAATAGAAGGGTTGAAAAGACTATAGTATTCGACCATTCGTCCATGACGATTTCCTAATTATATTATAATTTTCTTATCTTAGACTTTCATGTATAAACTTTGCTCGAACCTGTTGATATTAATGTGATGCTTATATTTTTGTAACGAATGAAAGCAATAAGTGATATCCTAACTAAAGATCTAAAGGCTATTAAATAGTGAGCCAAGCTAACGATCACCTATTACATTATGGAAAATATTTAATGTTATAAAAGTTTTGATTACTATATGATGTAAACTTCATAACAAATATTTACCCTAAAAAACGGATAACAATTGAATTTATATGTGGTTTTAAGGATATACGGATTAATTCAATACAAATGATAAATTGCATTAGATTAAACAGCTAAAAAACGTAATAAGTTGTCAAACCACTCAAGAGGTGTGATTCCGGACTCAGTAACAACCTCAGTGATATGCCTGCCTTCGATCTTGGACTCACAATAACGAAGCAGTGATGAACAAAAGTAAGAACTTTGAATAATAGAGAAAATGAGAGTATATTACCTTGATGTGCGTGTTACAATTTTCCCTAATGAATAATCAGACTCCCCTTTCTATAGTAAGGGAAATTTACCCTAAGCACAATTCTATAAAAGGTAAAATCTTCCATTTTATTAATCACTGATCTTCTGCTGGTACGAGCCGAGATTCACGCCGTGACATCTGGCGGGCACGAATATCACGGCCTTTGTTAGTCGTGCTCGTTTGTCTGACAACGTTCTCCGAAGTTTAGGGATTCGAATTAGGCTTGGGAGCGTTGCCCTAATTCGTCTGAGGGCAGGTGTTTTGCCCGAACCTTGATTCGAGGGGCTCCTTGCCTCGATTCAGGCTCCTTACAGTCACATCTCTGCTCCGTTTACTTCATCGATAACTGAGGCGTCCGAAGGGCTCGATTTTATCCTTACACAGATAGTCCCCTTATTTCTCGGAGAGTAAGTTTACAGAAACCACGAGAAACGACATATGCGCTTCGATTCCTTCTCCAATACGCCGTGACAGAAACGACGGAGAATCTGAAACGTCCTGTCAGTTGTGTCATTATGACTTCAAACACGCATCAGTCATCGCCTGGTCGCGAAACGACACGGTCCTTCTATAAATACTTCCTTCCTTCATTCATTTTTCACCTGTTGACCAAGCTTCTACACTCGATTTTTCAGGATATTACTGCCCTTCTTCATATTCCAATATTTTTACCCCCGTTCTTCAAGATTTTTCCGAAAGCTGCAAGTCTTTACATGCACTTGACCTTTCATCTTTCAACCTTTCTTCATATTTTTCAAGCTTATTCCATATAACAATGGCCAAAACTTCCAAATCTGTTCCCTAAAAAGTCGCTTCTTCTTGTCAACCGACCGCCGAAATGATGAAACCACTTCCGATGTGGTCGTCCTCGAGAGGTCCGCCGCTGATGTGGCTACCAATGAACCGGGCGCCAAACCTCCCTTGAAAATGTTCGTTCCCGGGGGTTGTTCGGTCGCTGATGACTTCAAGGTTGAGAAGCCTTCGTTGATGCAGGGTCGGCGTGAGGAGGCATCAAGATATATTTGCTCAATCACCAAAGATGTCCTCCCCGAGGTCCGAAAGGACTGCAACTGGGCAGGAAATGACATTGTGGTCCCCAACCCGGAGGATGCCATTACTACCCACGTTGAGGGATACCTAAGTGTTTACACTCATCCTTTCACATTGGGTCCGGCGAACTCGGTCATTCTGGAATTCTGTAAGAGGTATGAAGTATGCCTCGGTCAGATCCACCCGTCACTGTGGAGGATCATAATCCTCCTTCTATACTTCGTAAATGAAATCGACTCATGTCGGCTCACCATCGATCATTTACTCCGCCTGTACAGTCCCCGAATCTTTAGAGGGGACTGATAAAGCTCGTACGCCGGGCTAGTAAAGCCCCATTCTCAAGCATCAATGAGGACCGGGAACGGGGCTGACAGGGACGCTTTTTTTGGGTGAGACCGCAGACTTGATTCCTACCGAGTTTAGATCATTCCCCGAGAAGTGGAATGCATCACGTAAGCACAACCTTCCTTTAAATGTCGATTTTACATTCATCTCCTTTTTCCTCACTAGTATTTGTGGTGGTGCAGCTGCTGCTTGAGTCCCAAACGCTGTCCCTCGGCTCAATGAGTGGATCGAGGGCCTTTTCTCACAGATGCCTTATTCTGAGCGCTCATGGCGCAAACTCTCGAAGGGCCATTGGGAGGCTCGTTCTCACGGTAAGATCTCTTTCCCGAATAAGTAACATCAGGCTCCCCTTTTAGCATCACATTCTCATATCCTTTCTTTTCTTTTCGCAAACTTGCCTAACACCACTGAGCTTGGGCCTACAATAGGGGCCGAGGACCTGTCTGTTGATCCCTACGCTTTGGGGTAGCTCGGGGCTGCAGCAGGAGAGAAGAAGAAGAAAATAAAGGCTCCGAGATCCCCGAGATCGGAGAAGAAGAAAACAAAGAGAAGGTTGGCTCGAAAGCCAAAGGAGAGCTCCAGCTCTCGAGCACCCGACTCGGACTCACTCTTCCGGCTCAGGGATGAGGCCGATGAGGATGATCTTTTTGCGACCCATGAACCGACCTCACCCGAAGAGTAGGGGCAGCCGAGGTGAAAACAACAGAGGCTGATCCTCCTCAGGTTCGGGAGGCCGATGTAGAGATGAGGGTTGATGCTTGTCACGATGCAGGCTCCGCTCCGCCGGTGTCATAGAGATTTCAGGGTCACCTTGTTTCACCGACTTTATGTTCAACAAAGCCCGGACGGTGAAGGAGAGATCAAATGAATGGGCCCACAATACGGACAGTCCCCTTTATTCTTTTTTTTAAGGTGTGGACTCGACCGCTCTGGAAGACTTCTCCGGGTTAGGCAACCTGGAGGTGCCGAGAAAAGATCCGTCTTCGGAGGCCAACGGGCAGAATTCGAGCCCAAAATTAATCAACCAGTTCCCCGCCCCGAATACGGATCTCGACCGTAAGAGATCGATAATCATCACCGTCCCAGAGGATGTCTGTGTTCTTTCCGCTACCGTAGGAGTAGCGAGTTACCTCCAATGCCTGGTAACTGAAGACGACCATGCAAAAATGAACGAGGTGGGTGTGCCATGCATGTTCAATGAAGCATAGCAGGCGTTGAATCGGGTAAGTCATTATTACGCTCTTTTACCTTCTGACTTAGTTCTTGGTATTTCTCACGTCTTCTTCCTTTTATCTTTTTGCAGGCCTCGGTACTCTACCATGAGAGCTTTCTTCGATACCGGGCTGAGGTTAACCAACTCGAGGCTGAGGCCAGGGAGCTTATTGAGAAAAGAGATATGTATAAGCTTCTCAGCGAGCAACACGAAAGGGCCGTCAAGAATCTCCGGGTTGAGTTGGATGCGTCTCAGAAGGAGCATGCCAACTTGTTGGAACACGTACAGATTTTCGAGGTTAGCGATGATGACTTAGCCACGGCAACTAACAACCAAACCTCGCAGGTCCAGCAGAAGATTGACCGGATCGACCAACTCTGGGCTGAAATGAACGAGGTCTAGGCCATGGCCAATGTCTGGAAGAGAAAAATAGATCGGCTGGCTTCGGAGAAGGAGACCGCCCAGGAGCAGCTGGCATCGGTAGAGGTCCAACTCCGAGTGGTAAAAAAGAGAGTCGAAGCACGGGCTCGACAAATCGAGGATCTCCAAGCTCAACTGGGCTCGGTCATTGCTGGACGACATGCCCTTGGTGAGGAGCTCAAAATAACGAGGTCAGAATTGGAAACAACCAGGGCTGATGCTAAAAGATGGTGGCCCAGTACTGGGCCGATGTCGAGGCAGTCGAGGCCCGCCTGAAAGTCACCGTTGAATAAGTGAAGGGATTGTCTCAAATGGAGACCCTCAAGTAAATCCATGCCCGAGGTTTTGACCTGTCGTCCGAGATCAAAGAGGCAAAAAGGCTTCGAGGTTGAGGCCAAGAAGTTGGCTGAACCCGAGGGTGAAGAAGGCTTAGAGGGCTCCAACGAACCCGAAGATGGAGACGACCCCAACGGCTCTGGTGATGAGGCGGGTTCTGGTGAAGATCAGGCGTAGGTGCCTTAGGAATGTTTCTTCGTTTTTGCACTTTGTACATTTATTTTGTTGAGGCCGTTTTCGTTGGCCTTTGTAAAGACATTTTTGGAATGTATATAAGGCTTTTTTTTCCTTTTTGGAAATTTTTGAGTCTATTACTTTTGGCATCCTCTTTATAATTGTAAAGATTTCAAATGTCTTAGCACGGAATAAAACGTAGTACTAAGTTGTTGTTCAGAGGTTCGAACAAGACTTGTCCTCAATGTAAATTTTGTTTAAAACTTGTGGGGGCTCGGTATGACCGAAAGCTTTCCCCAAACGCTTGTTAAGATATTTTAGACTATAATTTTGCCGAGGGTAACCTTTGAATCGGTTTGAAATTTTGAAGGCCTTATGTTTTGATTACGGGCTTCGGACATCTCCGAGCCATTTTTTCGGGTGGCCGTAGCCTTTTATATTCAGGCACTGCCTAATAGGCTTTGTGCCTCCGAGCTTCGATAGCCCGAGCCGTCCGAGATTATCTTGGATGACAGTCCCCGGGTAGGTGTGGTGGTAGCCGTTTAAGTTTAGGCCCTGC